AGGATAGGACAATATTTGGCTGAGATACAACTATTTGAAAATCTGGAATCTGAGGGTGCTAAAAAATCTAAATATTGAGAAAATCAATTTTAAAGTTGTCCAAATTAAGTTCTTAGCAATGCATATTACTAATCAAAAATTAAGTTCTGATATATTTATGGTAGGAAACTTACAAAATATCCATGAACATGATCTTTACTTAATATCCTAATGATTTTTGGCATAAAAGAAAAATCAATAATTTTGACCCATACAATGTATTGTTGGCTATTGCTACAAATATACCCCAGCGACTTAACACTGCTTTTGTGCTGCAGAGTCACATATGAGCTCCTAAAAGCTTCAGTAGATTCATCTTTCATGCATTACCTGTTAATCTTGTGATTTGTGTTGAATGTTGATGATTTCCAGCCTCCCAGAGAAGTGCTCAGCGGACCAGACAACACCATGCTGCTGGCAGACAGTTCAGAAGACGAGTTCTGACGAGAATCATCTGTGGATCAGTCAGATTTCACACAAATACTGATGAGAAACACGAATGAATGAATGAAATCGCAATATGCTTTTTTCTTCAACTGCATCCACACTCTTTTGAGAAACTGAGAAAATGAACATTTTAATTAAGTGTTATTTTAGTATCATTGAGATGCTATTGTAAGTTGTATTCATATTTTGTATTCTATATTTTCTGTTTTCTTGTAGTCTAATCTTGTAGTCATTTTGTTGTTGTTTTGTCATTTTTAGTATTTTTTTATACATATTCATAGTCCATATAATTTTTATTTTTATCAAGTAACTAAATTAAAATGAGAAATTTTATCTTGGCAACTAGCTGAAATAAAACGTTTTTATGTAACAAAAATGTGTTTTTTAATGGTTTTAATGTTTTTTTTTTTTTTAAGTTTTGTCATGGTTTTAATTTTAGTTTCAGTTTTAGTTAACTATAATAACCTGTTTTAAATAAAGCATCTTGGGTGAATATTAATATGTCCATTAACTCAAAATTGCCAATTATTCCACTTGTACAACCACATATGTGTTGATTTCATGATATTTTTCAAGTTTTGGTCCATAAAACATATAGAATTACTTTCTACCACTGAAGTATCTGCTGTAAGATGCCATCATCAGTTCAGAAACATTTGCTATCAAACATTAATAACACCTGAAACATCTGTCAGAATCCAGTATTAAACAGTGGTATAATAATAGTGCTTTCATTCATCACAGATCATCTGCAAACTCAAGACCCACAATGCTTTACGATTTCAGCAAGAAATGCTGCTTTAGGACAATATCTATAAAACAAAACGTCATCAGGCATATCATCATTTCATTTAGAAAATATTAAATTGTTACATATTAAAACGAATCCTCTAAATTAAAGCACTCATGCAACACAAGATGAAAGATCGGCACACGTTTAAATTTCTGAGATCAGCATTAAAACAGTTTATAAACTCTTTGATCTAATGTGGAAATGTTGTACATACAGTATATAGGATGTTTTGACTGTAAATATGATGTTGTTATGACAATCTTCTATATGAACTCGTTTCATGTGCCTATACGTGACGTGTTTGTGCATCATTTGATGATGGAAAACTGATCAGAATCATAAATTCACTGCAGGCTTCTTATGGTGTTTTGTCAAAGTTGTTAAATATCTTGAGGATGCTACAAATGTACAGGAACACGTGAAGAATCACAGCACACCACTGTAAATACACAAAAATAAAATATCTAATCACGTACTTTTGCGGTGCCGTCTTTTTCTGTTACATAATATTATTGATTGATTGATTGATTGATTGATAATTGTTGTACTTTTTAGGGGATTCTTCCCCGCCTTGTTACACTTGGTGTTCCTGATCAAAAATGACTGTTTTCTTTTAGTTAGCTCAGGTTTTGTGCTTCTTTCTGGAGCTGGTTGATCGTAGGCTTCATTGATCTGAGCTCATGTTTGTTTATATAATATGCAGTAAGTCTAATGAATAAATAGAAAACATATTCTTAAATATGCCAATACAGTGATCATCAGTATCTTTATGAGCAGTCATCTCGATGGCAAAAAGTGTCCCGAAAGACCTGAATTTACCCTATTCACACATCTTTACTAATCATTTATTAATCATTCTTTCATGTTTTTGCAGTAGCCAATCTAAAGTGGAAACTATTCATCATTTGTAAATGTTTATAAACGATTACTAATCATTTAGTACCTTTATGGGCACTGGACTTACGTAACAAGGTTTGTGTAAAGGGTGGCTGGTTAAGTTTAGCTATAAAGACATCACAGATTGTAATTTTGATGCAAAAAAGTTTTTTATTGCCTCAACACTCACATTAGTATACTACCCTTCAGTATATCATTAAAACAGGATATTCCTTGAATCATAAATAAACGGAAAAACAAATCATTTTTTAAAAGAAAATACTTACAACATAATATAAACAGATTGTACCGTGTTCCCTTATAATAATCAAACTGACCCCTATACACTGTTGACCCTTTAACCAACCCTTAAACCTACCCATACCACCAAACCAGTCCCTAACCTACCCGTATCACTCCTCAATAGCAGCAAAAGTGTTGTGCATTAACACAAGCTTTTCAAAAATCATTTGTAGATTTTCAATAAGTGCTTGATCATATGGAATTGAAAGTTTAATCTTAAATGGATACCTGGACAATTTTCAATCTGGTTTCCGACCGCATCACAGCACAGAGACAGCGCTCATTAAGATAATAAATGATATTCGCTTAAATTCTGATTCTGGCAAAATATCCAGATCATTAGGATCAAGTCAGTTAGAAATACCAAGGGTTCACACAAAACAAGGGGAGTCCGCTTTTAGTTATTATGCCGCCCGCAGCTGTGGAGTCTGTACATAGGAGTCTTAGCTTAAGAGCAACTCAGGACCAATCTGAGAGCAACTCTGAGCGAGGAAAAGGCAAAAACTTTCATCTTTGGTGAGGAGGCGGGGCTGACCCCGTTGCTAAGTATGACAACGTCTTTGGAAGACTGTGATTGGCTGGTTGTCCAAGAAAAAAAAAAGTGCTTTAGGCTTTATTATAAGCCTTCACTTTGAAATTACAGGCATAATTTTTCCTGTTTTACCATACTCTCTCTCTCACACACACACTTTTATATATATATATACTTTTTTATTTACCATGCTGTTAATGTTGTACTTAAGGTATTTGATAGGAAACAAACAGCGACACAATAAGGTTCTGAAAGTGCTGTAATTGTTTGTTTGATCACTTTGCTTGTAGAAAGTTATGACAGACCAAAATCATCACTGCTGCAAAGTTGCGTGTACACACAGCAGCAGAATACGGTTGCCAGTCCTGTATTTGAGTCCTTAACACGGTTACGTTCACACAATACAGTTATTTCCGGGGGTGACAACTGCATTCTATAACCGGACTCACACCCATCTATTTTCAGGACTCACAATTGCATTCTCAGAAAACTGGACAACTTGTCCTTGATTTTCTCCACTGCTAAAGACACTCTTAAGCCTCTTAAAAGTCCTCGTCAGTACTCCTAACAATTTTGGACCTTAAGAGCTCTTTTAAGGCTTTAAGATGCTTTCCGGATTACTTTTTTCTTTACTAGGATCTTTTCTTTAATTTTAAGAGGAATTTTCTTAGAATTTTGTCACTAGGAGCAACTCTTAGCACTAAGATTTTTCATGAATACGGGCCCAGATGTGCTAAAACATTAGTCACATTTAAATCCAGACTCAAAACTCATCTGTTTAAGCTGTGCATTTATTGAATGAGCACTGTGTGATGTCCGAACTGATTGCACTGTATTTTATATATAATCATTTCCTACTTTAATATATTTTAAGTCAATTTTTAAATCACTTTAAAAGTTTTTAAATTCCTTGTTTTAAATTCCTTGTTCCTTTAGTATAGGGAAGAGAAACGAAATCAAAAAACCAAAATGAATGAAACGCCGCGTAACTCTACTCAATATGAGTTCCGTTATTCTGTCACGTGTAGCTACGGAAAGCACACAACGGCAGGAGTAGACATCATTGTGCTTGCGTCAGTTACTGTTTCCATGGCGGTGATTGGTGGATCTCTCTTGGCGCGCTTTTGGCTTTTGAACGTTCGCGTCACGAACTGCCAACTTATGTTTTTTTAATAGTCGGTGTGTTTCTTTTATTCGATTTAAAAAAAAAAAACGGTAGAAATTGGCATTTTGAGTTACATGAGGACACACACATTCATGTAGAGACATAATGAAGTTTAATAACAAAGACATGTGCATTTTCCAAGGATTAATGGCCTTCAAGGGAGAAACCAGACATCGTCGCCAATTATTTTGCAGGTGAGTGGCATTACTAAAGTGTATAAATTCGTATTTATGCATTTAGGCGTTTCAACGTTAATGTGATTGTTATCGCCTTAAATTGATTTCATTCTTTCTGTTCGATATGATTTTTTGAAAGCTAAATGCATACTGTGATATGGACAATTTCCACGTATAACGTTACCCACACGAAACTTTATTTCGAAACCATAACTGCAAATAATATCTGGCAGATCAGGCAATTCGCGAGTTTTAACAATTAATTAGAAAAACCGACTCTTAAGAATTATTTGTTCGTGTATTGGACAGTGTTGCCAACTAGTTTTCAGGGGAACTTGCTAAAGGAAGGTTGATTTTTAATTTTTTAACATTTTCATATTTCAATGAAATTTCAGGAATTATACCACAAAAAATACTCAAAATGTTTTTCCACAGATTCTTAGTATACTCACAATACCAAAATAAATGAGACAAATCTTCAGTTTGGAGACCACAGAAGGAGCAATTTACATCAAAATCCTCAGAAATAAACCTAAGGTTGATTTGTTGCTAAAAGTTGCTAAATGACGTTGTGACGTCATTGCGTAATCACGACGCAAAATTGTGTCACTACATTAAATCTCAGCAAAAAAATATTTTATGTCCATTTAGATTCGTTCGTAAAATAATATAAATGCATAATATACTATTAAAATTTAAATAACTATTTTATTAAATACATTGAATTTTTGAAAACGTACACATTTTTGAACTATTACAATTTAAGTTTTTTTTTTGTTAGCTAGTAAACTAGTAAAACTATACACATTCTGAACAATTATATTTTTAAGCAGTGTATTAGTAGTTAGTTAGTGTGCTACACTATAAGAAATCTACTATGTTGTTATTATGAAGGAATTTTCCGTATTGATTTTTCCAGTTTTTGTTTTTTTACCTGCATTTTTAATTACACATTGTATTTTGTATTTTCGGGTTACAGGGTTACAACGGATAATAAAAATTACTAGTACCTTTTCCATTTTTCTAGAAAATGTTCTTACTTACCTGATCAACAATTGCAAGTACAAGCTACTAACAAAATGTATCATAAATGAACAATTATTAATCACTAAATTATTTATTATGATTATTATTATTATTAAATTGAACGATTGCAAATAGCAGCTAAATTAATTGACGTGATGTGTATCTTTGGTTTTCTCTTGTGTAGTTTAGATGGTAAATGTGTGCCTTTTTATCGTTTGAGCCACTTATCAAAAGTTGCTAAAAGTCGCCAAATAAATTTTAAAAATGGCTAAATTTGTTTCTAGGTGCTTTTGGAAGAAAAAGTTGTTAGGGTAGTCTGAAAAGTTGCTATATGTTTACTTTATCAATACAATTAATATGAAAATACATATTTTTATGGAATAGAATATTGAATTCTATACAGAATTTGTATTGCCGTAGAATCTTTATTTCCTGTGCAATTTAAACGAGTAAAGATCAAAAAATTAAACTGCATTAGTGGTAAGTAAATTTATAAAATAATTCACTTTGGTCAAACAAATTTCAGTGTAACTTACTAAATTAAATACGGATAAATGTCTGTATAGATGACAATTCTGTCATTTTTACTCGCGTATCGTTTCAAACCTGCATTACTTGCTTGTTTTCCATGGAACACAAAAGGTGAAATTTGAAAGAATGTTCCAGTTTGTTCTTTCCATGCAATTGCATTCAATAAAGCCCATATAAAGCTCATATAAAGCCCATATAAAGCCCATATAAAGCTCATATAAAGCCCAATAAAGTCCGTCCAATGGTCGTCATGTAATGATGATTAAACAGCGTCCTCTAGTGGTGAGCCCATGCAATCTCATTCTATTAGCGTCTAAAGCCCATATAAAGCTCATATAAAGCCCATATAAAGCCCATATAAAGCTCATATAAAGCCCATATAAAGCCCATATAAAGCTCATATAAAGCTCATATAAAGCTCATATAAAGCTCATATAAAGCCCATATAAAGCCCATATAAAGCTCATATAAAGCTCATATAAAGCCCATATAAAGTCCGTCCAATGGTCGTCATGTAATGATTAAACAGCGTCCTCTAGTGGTGAACCCATGCAATCTCATTCTATTAGCGTCTACTCAATGCAAACTAATATACAGGAGTTCTGCAGGTGTTAAGAAGGTAAATCTAAGACTTTGTAAGAGATAAATTGAATGGAACACAATGTCAATATTTTCTCTAAAGGTATAATCAATGCTTTAAAGCTTAAAAAAAACCACGACTTCCAATAGATCTCCATTACATTTTCATTCATTTAGCAAAAAAACGAATAAATCAAAAGTGCATGGAATATGCGTGCTTCCAAACACTATAATATGAAAATAACTTTTACTGTACCTTGATCACACTGCAAAAAAAAAAAAAAAAGTGCTGTTCTTCCTCAGTATTTTTTGTCTTGTATTCCAGAACAAATATCTAAACATCTTCAAATCAAGATGCATTTACTGGAGAAGCGAAATGACAAGAAGTCTCATTTGATGAAAAACTGATCAAAATGAAGTGAGTTTACCATTAAAACTAAAATCTGCCAACGGGCTCAGAAAAATCAACTTGATTTAAAGCAAAAACAGGTTTTCATTTCTATTTACAGATATTTTGTTCTCATTTTAAGCAAAAACTCACTTCATTTTGTTCAGTTTCTCAGAAAACAAAACTTGATGTCTTAATTCTGCGTCTCCAGTAAGTGTATCTTGATTTAAGGATGTTTAGATTATTTTTTTTTCTTTCTGGAAAACAAGATAAAAATACAGAGTAATGCATTCATGCAATGCATTTTTTTGTTGTTGTTGCAGTGCATGCAACATTTAATGCAAATGACTTTAAGACTTCAGACCTTTCTAAGGCCTCATTTAGTGAATATAAATGTAAAGAATGAAAGCGAAACAGTCTGTCTGTATGCAAAGATCACTTTTATTCATGTCATGATTTGTGATTGTCAGTGCACCTTGAGTTTAAGCATCAGTTTGGATCGGTCCGCTGTGAGAAAGCAGCCGGTCGTACAGGTTTAAGTGCATTGTGGCAGTGGTAAGGTCAAAGGTCAGGACTCTTGTCTGAGATCGAGGTTTTATTCAGTGGGTCAAACACAAGGTGCAGCATCTTCACATCTCATTCCAAAGGAACAAAAACGACAACAATCCAAGTTTTTCACGCCATCCAGTGTGGGGACTACATCATACAAAAGTCCTACGAAGCAAACACACAGTCCTTCAGGGAGAACGCGACCGATCCTGTCTGCGCTTTACTGAACGATATCCAACCGTTTGAGCTGGAAATGCCATTCCCGTTGACCTCCGAGAGAGAAAAACCCTGTGGACGGCGATGCAGGCACACGTTTGGACACTCCTAACCACGCTTGTAAACTTGGACTAGTGTAAACCTGAGCTGACCCGTCGCCAGGTCGAGAATGAGTGGAACAGCATTCACTGGAGCTCGCTCGGAAGACGCAGAGACACAGAGTTGGATTTCCTGCTACAAAACGCCACGGATCGTCCGTTTGAAGCATAGATTGCGATGTCTAAGGAACACAGGCTTTCTCAGTCTCAGAGAACTACAGTAGTCAACATCTGGATCAAAACCTTTCATCAAAGTTGTCCTAAAACCTAAAAGCGGTCTTGTCTTGTCTTAACTTTTTCTGATCCACTTCTGAGGGGAGCTGCAATTCCAGAGGAAAGCAACAGATCACCCAAAAAATGAAAATAACGATGCACCGCGAGCCGGTTGAAAATCGATTCAAATATGTGACGATTCAAATCGGTCGAGATGCTAAACGGATCGCGATACAATTGGGGTTGTGAGTTTCTATGCACGCATCTCTGAGGAGATCTGACTGTCTTTAGAAAAGTTTAGATGGTATTTTCTTTTCATCTTGCCTCTTGTAGTGTAGCGCAGCGCTGCTTTGTTTACAGCGATAATCAAGGAAACGCTGTATCGCTGCTGTTCCGTAAGCGCCACCTGCTGGCAGAGTGAATTTGTGCTCTAAACCAGCCCGTCTGCTGTTTCGGTTTCGTTTAGATGTTTTATGTAGTATAGTTTCACAACACTAAAGTCAAGATTCTGCTTCAAATTCCAGAATTATACGGTCTAATCTAGATCAAAAACTGCTCACGCTGCATGCATGCAGCTTCTTTGTTTGGATCGTGATTAAATTCAAGTTTAAAATATTAAAATACAGTGGTTGCCTCTAATTTTAAATGGAAAGAGCACAAAGCCTTAATTTGTTTATATGAACATATTTCTTTTATTTGTGTTATATATGTATTTGATTTGTTTTTTTTTTAAACTTCAATTTAGTTTTGTTATTTGACATATTTCAGTTTCACAAAGAGATGTGCAGCATTTTGTCCACGCAATTATAAAAGGAGACCTTTTCAATTATAATGTGTCTTAAATCTCATTATTGTGAATCGTATTGCATCGTGAGTTAAGTGCATCATTACGTCCCTACCGTTAGTCGATCTTCACGCAGCTCTTTTCTATGCGATGACGGTTAAAATCAGTGGCATTTTAGTGTTAATGACGTTAAACGTGGTGCAATGCACCAATGCAGCATTTTTAATATGAATATGATTTGTGGAGATTCAGTGCATAGTGACTTAAAGCATCATATCATTTGAAATATAGCGCATATGGATTTTTTTGTCTTCGTCTTTGCATGTAAAAGAGCTGCATCACTTCAAAATGTTCCTTTTATTTTTTCCCCACACATACAGTAAATGCCAGTTAATTTCTAGGTAATCTGTTGCAGAGGTCTGAGAATGCAAGAAACTGGCGACTGCAACGAAGCGTTCCTTGACTCTCGTAATGTCAAGGAAATGCGACGATTTAGAACTAGTGAAAAGTAATCCAAACGGCTTACGGTCGCTTCATCGGCCTGCAAAAAAAATACGGTCATAAACTGAGGTGTCTTCTACAGCTTGTGAGGTAAAGTAGAGCTATTCTGTCTCTAAACCCTGCGATACAAAGCTTTGTCAAGTGCTTAGCTTATAATACTCAGAGATGCACAGTGCGAGGTGTGCAGGCATACGTGTAACGATTATCATCCAAACACCAGTCCGTGTCATCCTTCTGGTGATGCTTTATACAGAGCTTTCATCAATAAAATTTTTACACTGGACTTTTAATTAAAAGTAGTTCACCCAAAAATGAAAATGTGCTGAAAATTCACCATCAAGATTAGGATGAGTTTACATCAAAATCCAGCCACATATTTGTTTAGAGCTGTTTAAACGCTGCTTGATCTGTGCAGATTTCTCTCCTGATTCACACGTTCTCACTGGAGGAAGAGTTATTATGGATTATTATCCAGCTAACAGGGAATGTTCTCAGAACGTTATGAACAAACATTACTCCAGTAACATTAACAGAACATTCATTCAAAGATATCTGGTCTGTTCTCAAAATGTTATTTATACATTGTTCATGTAATGTTTTTTCCTGAAGCGTTTTAGCTGAACATTCATCTAACATTTTTTTAAATGTTGCAACTTGTTTCAGAACATTCGGAGAACATTCAAATGTAACGTTTCCATGTCGGCAAAATGATACAATGGAATGTTCCCTTAACATTCATATAATTAAGAAAAAAATGCTTTTAAAATATTTTAAAAACTTGGTGTTTTGAATGTTTAGTAACATTTCATAACTTAATGAAAAGTTTAACAAAACGTTCTTAGATTTTTTTTTCTAAGCAACGGTTTGAAGTTAAAAGCGTCTTAATGCTGGATTTGTTTCAGCTTTTGTCTTCTCCAGATGTTAACTGATGGACTGGAGTGCTGTGGATTACTTGTGGATTATTGTGATGTTTTTATCAGCTGTTTGGACTCATTCTGACGGCACCCATTCACTGCAGAGCATCCATTGCTGAGACACTGATGCAATGCTACATTTCTACAAACCTGATGAAGAAACAAACTCATCCTGATCTCTGATGAACTGAGGGTGAGCACATTTTCATTTTGGGGTGAAACATTCCTTTAAAAGTTGTGACAGCTAACTGCAACAATTTTTCTACATTGCACTAATTTGCATGCTGAAACAATCAGAAGAAGAAGAATCTAAAACCAAAGGAAAAGAACAAGAAAACAAACCCAGGTTGAGCTAAAGGAAGGGAAGCACACGGCTCGAACCGCTTCATCTTGATTCTACAGGGTTTATTGCGTTGTAATAAAGATTCTGTACTTTCTAGTGTGTGCCGTGTGAGATGCTGAGGTTCGGTCTGCACTGAGAGAGCGCTGGAGGCCGTAGAGGGGTGAAAGGAGTCAGGAATCTCTAATCGAGTTCGCTTCGGTCCAGTTTGTGTTGACTGTGATTAGCGACCTTCAGCAGACGAGCTCGGGACTGTGTTACAAACCAATGCTGCCTTCAAGTGCTGCTGATGGAAATTACAGTTAGTGATACTCATCGGCCAAATGCATTCGTCCCTGATAAACACTGGACGCTTTTTAGCACTAGATCAGCAAAACAACACTTATGATTCGCCACACTATACATTAGCATTCGGTTTGATTTTTCAAAAGTCTCTTCTGCTCACCAAAAATAATAATATTATGAAATAGTACAATAGTAATAAATAGTAATAAATATTTTCATATTATTAATAATAATAATTATTATTATTTTTATTGTATTATTAATTAAATAACTTTTAAATAAACTTTTAAATTTTATTATTAATTAATTAAACTTTTTTCAATTTTATTATTAATTCATGTTTATCAGAAAAATCGCAGTTACATTTCCCCCCACATCATGCAGTCTGACAACAGAATGTTATGTGTTACATTTAAACAACTTATTTCTCCAAAATCTGTCTTTCTCCGTTCACTGCAGATCTTCAACTCAAACGGTGGATATAAACAGGAACTAATCGGCTGAATAAATCACATCTGAATGAGGCTTTCACAGATCTCCCATCATTCAGAAAGCTTTCACTGCAGCTGTAAATCACATTAAGAGTGCGGAAGCGCGCAAGCTCACAAAGTCATTACGTGCCGTTGTGATTACGAGTGTTGAGTGCATGTGGTTATTATTAGGTCAACACATCATTTAACTGCATTACAACACGTGTGCTTAGAAACACTCAGGATTTAAAGCTCCGCAGACGGACTGTTTCACAGCATATTCAGTCTAGAGCCGCACGATTCTGGATAAACTGCGAATCGCGATTTTTTTTTGTCTCAAACAGAGATCACGATTCTGAACTAAACTAAATAATGTGACAAAATATGAATTGCTGCAGTGTTTAGTTAATTTATGAATGATAAAACATTTTAATATACATGCATTTAAAATATAATATATTTAATACACCAATTTTTTATATAAAAAAGTGGTTTGAGTGAATTATTCAATGACTCACTCGTAAATAATTCACTTGTTTCATCACTGGATGATAGGGCTGGGTTTTGACACAAATTTCACGATTTGATTCGATTAAATATTTTGGATATATATCAGGTACACATGCCCAATTTTCTTAAGGAAAAAAATACTCTTAACTAATGCTGTCAAATATGCATGAGAGTCAGTTGGTACAACATTACTATAATATTGAAGGTTAAAACTGACTGATTTTTTAGGCTATACAACTGCTTAAATTACACTTCATGAAGTTTTCATAATAAAAGTTACAATTACATAATAACGGTAAAACATTATAATGAATGTTATATGGTGCATATATTTAGCAAAATGCCCCTCTCTACAGTTTATTTTTCTGGTCACCGAATATGTTTTTCTGAGGTAAATGTGACGTTACATTGTTTACAAGCCGTTATATTGACGTCTTTGCGCGGCTGAAACACTGATTGAGCGATTACATGAGACAGGGTACGGATTGTAAAGTTGTACTCTTTCTTTTAACTTGCCTTCAGATGTTTAGTCATGTTTATTTCTGTCACTCACTCATTAGACACTTGCCGTCTAGTTGTAGCCAATACTTTTGTGCGTTTTAAATATCCTGTGCATAGCGCGATCGTCTTTTACATCATGAGATTTTGGCCAAATGTATTAAACACAAGAAAAACTGAGCGCCAATATAGCTACAAAAAAAACTTTCTAACCTGTAAGTTGATGAAAACGTAATGCGATGAACTTGCTGCTTCAGATGCGGCCGTCACTGATCTCCGTCATTCGCTTGTCAAAATCCAACTCCATTTGAGCATGATTTTCATAATTTAAGTGCAAGTGTCTGATCATATATAAAGCCAAAATATCAACTCTAAAGACTATAGAATTATATAATAAGGGACTTTGACCAACTCTGACGATGTTTATAGTTGTTAAAAAAAATAAAAATACCTTCCCCCCATTCTATCTATCTTTATTTATTTTTTATTTTTTGCTATATTTCAGTGCTTAGTGGTGTGCCGTTACTTAAACTGTGCCACGGCAGAAAAAAGGTTGGGAAACACTGCCATACACATCAATGTTTATATCTGAACTATAAACTTTCATCCCAGTATTTCTGTGATAACATGAATGAGAAATAATAGTGTGTAGTTGAAAAGAGAGTTTGTGAAGCTGTTTCATGGTAAATGTCTGCTCTCTGTGTCAGATTTGAATGTTCCGGGATGATTTTTTTCAAAGGTTCACAATTGTTAATTTTGTCTGACAGTAGTTAAATTTATGAAAGTGTTTAAAGAAGATAACGTCTCTATGAAAGCTTGTTTTGCCACAGAATATAAAAAATATAACTTTTTAACTTTAACTTTTTATTCTCTGAATTCTGAGTTTAAGTGTCGCAATTCTGTTTTTTGGTTTTTTTTACGCCACGGAATAAAAACAAAAAAATGTAACTGGGACTTTTTATCTCACAATTCTGCCTTTTGCTTTGTAATTTTAATTTAATATATCACACAATTCAAGCTTTTTTCTTAGAACTGCGAGATATAAAGTCAGAATTGTGAGGAATAAGCTTTACACCTCGAAATACTGACTTTTTCCTCAGAAAAATCTCGTAAATTGGTAATTGTGGCTTTTTAATCTCACAGCTTCTATATCTCACAATTCTGACTTTATATCTCGCAATTCTGACTTTTTTCCACAGAATTGTGAGAAAAAAAAGTCTGAATTGTGAGCTAAAGCATTTTATGGCAGAAACAAGCTTCCATACTAGTATTTTTGGATGCTGACAGTCCAACAGGTAAAGAACAGCATGAAAGTCAGCTGTATATTATTAAAGTCAGCATGAAATGACAAATAACCCCGTCGGTTTTCTAAATGCATATCATAGATTTTATAGTGAGCAATTCCTGCGTGCATAATTTCATTTTATAAAAATGTCATCAATAATCAGAATGTCATAACTGGATCTCTCTTAAAGCGCTTAGAATAAACAGACGATATCGTTTGCTGGTGTGGACACTAATATTTTTATCGTTATCTTTATCGTTATCGTTCTTGGTGTGAATGGGGCTTTAAGCTCCACCCCTCCAGCTCAAGCTCATCTGCATAGAAAGCCACGCCCACATCTTTACATCCAATCAACAACCGATGCACAGAACCAAGTTCCCGCCCTACATTTTTTCTTTATCGCTAATCCGTTACACTCTGATGTACATCGCAACATGGAAGAAAAGATCTGTCGCTACTTCAGTTTCAGCGTGACTTTAAAAACACATTTTTTAAACATAAAAGCTATGGACCTTTTTCACATTTCCGGGTTTCTCAGCAGCGGAAGTCGTCATAGTTGGGTTAACTTCAACAGCAGTGAATAGGAGAATACCACAAATATATATTTTTTGCATTCCCATTTGCTCAAAATGTATTAATAGGCTATTAAACCTTTTTAACATTATTAAAAGTGCATACTGAGTGACTGATATCATCTTTGCTATGGAATACGCTTGTTGGTTTGCATTGAATTCACAGTTTTGACGCACATGTTTGCTTTAATTTATTTTCAAGATCTGATATATATATATATATATGGCTATATATGATATTCAAACTCACATTAGACATTAGACACATTTAACTTTGAATAAAGTACATAATCACCGCAACGTTGCAGAAATAGAAACCATTTCTAAAATAGAAATTCTCCACATATAGCGCGATCTGATCCCTAAACACGTTTTGTCCACTTTTAAGGCATCGTGAGTTCATGTTTTACTGCAGAAGCCGACAAGCGCCTTGTTGTTTTTGAACAGAAGCCGATAAGTCCATTCTAGCGAATCAGCGCGCTGTATTCAGGTCAGGTGACAAGGCTACTTTCACTCTGAAAAGACGTGCTAGCTGAGAGGAGTCTCGTCAAAGCTGACTAAAAGTGATCGAGGATCATTTCGACGAACTTGATGAACCTGTGATATCATCTTCAGGGCGAAAAAGGAAAATAAAAGCTGAAAGGTTTTCACGGAAGCTTGTAAAAGCAGCGCGTTACAATGGAGAGGGAAAAGCTGCGTGTAATCACATCCATACGGTTTATGATCACAACAACAACGTTTGTCAGGTGTCTATATTATCATCTGAGGAGATTACAAAGATTAAACCAGTGTTTTTTTAAACTCTAAAACATGAAATGTGGAGTTATCTGCTTTTGCTATAAAACAAACTTTTAATATGTAAAAAAAAAACATACTTTCAATTAACTTTAATTTAGTAAATTACCTGTATTTGTTTAGGTTATTATTACTTAATCAAAACAACCCAACTGTAGTTTGATTGATATTACTTGGAATGCGCAAAAAAAAAATTTATCGGTTATCGGTTTTTGCAAATGAACTCTTCAAATATACCCCGTGCTACTTATGACTGGTTTTGTGCTCCAGGGTCATGGTTACATATTTTAACGATATTATTATTTCTACTAATAAATGGCGGCCCCCCTGCAAACCCCTGCTGTGATACTGACCCCGAGGAAGATGTTCTTGGAGGAGTCGAAGCCGGCGGCGTAGATGCGGGCGGTGTAGGGCGGGTTTCGGTCGCAGACGATCCTGCAGGCGAAGCGGGAGATGGTGCTGGGCGCCGAGGATGAGTCTTCGCTCTCCTGGGATCCTCCTGGAGTGTCTGTCACCACGAAGTCTATGGGGCTCTCGGTGGAGCGGCCGATCTGCAGAAGATCAATCACACACGTCTCATGTTTATATTAGGGACTGCTCAGTTTGACCCAGGAGTCAGTGTTGGGAAGGTTACTTTGGAAATGTAACAGGTTACTAAAATGTAACTATTTCAGTTACTTTATTTAAACTGATTACTTCTCTAAATTTCAATTGTTTTCAACTATTAATCATTTTCAAACATGTAAAGCAGGCAGAGTTAACCTTACAGTAGTATTCAACACTGATTACGGTCAAAATCCTTCATTACTTTAATTAAGATTATAATAATTAAATTTTAAAGCACAGCCACCACAAAATCAGACTTTAGCACTTCTTCTTACTAGGAGGTTAAATACAGATTTAAAACCAAAACAAGATATAGTTTAATAGCTATGATACTGTTTTTGAAAGCAAATCTTGCATAGCTATGACTGGAAACACTGGCATCTAACAATGGCTTGGAAAAAACAGTTCATCTTAAAAAATAAAGCATATACATAAACATAAATGCATTGACTCAAATAAATGTACTCGGCATAAATCTTTATCTGTTCATGCATGTGAATTTTCCTGGAAATCAAACCATGATGTTGCGTCATGCTCTACCACTTGAGCTTCTAGAAAACACACACATGCACAAAAATAATAATAATAATAATAATAATACAAAAATAATTTAAGAAACTTAAAAAAAAAATTTTCATTTAAAAATAATAAACATGAAAAATATTTAAAATACAGTTTAAAATAGTCACAATTAAATGTTTAGAAAATATTTGTTAAATACAATTTTAAAAATCATGTTCTTAATAGTATTTTTTCAGTATTACTATACATTATTATTTATATACACATATGATTTATATACTATTATAGTTTTTGTTAATATTTTGAATTAGCGTTTATTTTCAGTTATTTTAATTTCAGTTTAATTTTTTGTTTAGTTTTTATTTTGGGTTTAGTTTTACTAGTAATTTTAGTGCTTAAACTTAAACTCAATTTTACAAATTTTAATTTGTAAAAGTTTTTTCTATGTAATATTTTGTATTTTATTTTATTTCAGCTTTATTTCAATTAACAAAAACGTTTTTAATCTCAAATCTCGCCCTGAATCTAAAACTAATTAATATATATTTTTTTATTTTGGTAATGCGTGGGAAATATGATCATTTACTAAAACAATTTTTTTAATTTAATGTTTACTAAAACAATGTTTTAATCTGAGGGAATTGTTAAGGTCATTGCACACTGAATCTGAAACTTTCGTCCGTCACTATTCAATTTTTATTCAATAATTCAATTTAGCGCTTTTCACAATCCAAATCGTTGCAAAGCAGCTTTACAGAAAATTGTACGTTTCTACATTATATTTAGGAGTAGGTTATTAGTGGTGACTACGGCAGAAATGTACAGTAAAAATCATGCAGTTAGTTACAAATTACACGTAATCAAACAGACGGTGAACACTATTAACTGCAATGATTATATGTTGCAATTAAACTTTGCGATTCGTTTAAATTTGAGAGGTGTTTTGACAATTCAGAGCCACCGTAGAAGAACTCTCCTTACTCTCTACGCAATCTCAGGACTTTTTAAACAAGAAGAAGAAAGAGGAATTGTTTCAATTTGTTTTGTGAATTTTTTCCGCAACGGATTAATTAATACGCGTCGGACTCAGTGTGCAAGGTTTCTGTGCGTGACGAATTTTTAGGATGACGAATATGAAAAAATTTCCGGACTCGGTGTGCAATGACTTTAATGTTTTTTAAAAACTGATTTTTGTGCTTTGTTTGCTTTTTCATAATTTTTTCAATTGAAATAGTATTTCAACATTTACTGAATTCAGTTCACTATTTATTTATTGCGTTTTGCAGCATATACTCACACAGACATTTGCGTGATTCACATTAAGGCATATATATAAATAAATAGATATAAACAATAATTTAATACTGATAAATCTAATTAAAATATCCAGTCTAACTGACCATCAATGAAGAAGATTTTAAGAACTCAATTGCCTGGGAAATAAATGATACTTTTAACCTATTTTTTGAACATCTAGGAACACAATATCGTCGACCTGATGGTAACAATTCAAAGGTATACGATAAAGGATGCCTCTTATCCTTCACAATTATGTTAGCCTTATTTAACACTCTTTCTAAATACATACTCTCTATGCTCTCTAATTTTGTTCCTAACAATTTACTTACTGTTAATGACCTCTTCTGGGCCTCAGAAGCATTACCAAACCAGCAGATCACACAAAATGTCATAATGCTTTCAATAAAAGCCCCATAAAACATCAACAGCATTCTGCTATCGACATTAAAAGACAGTAATTTCTTTAAGAAGTGCATTCTCTGTTGTAGCTTACAGTCCATGCATCCCACCCAATGGAGTTTATTGTACAACATTATACCAAGGTATTTATATATGTGTCCCTGCAGCACAAAAGCAGTGTTAAGTCGCTGGGGTATATTTGTAGCAATAGCCAACAATACATTGTATGGGTCAAAATTATAGATTTTTTTTAATGCCAAAAATCATTAGGATATTAAGTAAAGATCATGTTCCATGAAGATATTTTGTAAATGTCCTACCGTAAATATATTAAAACTTAATTTTTGATTAGTAATATGCATTGCTAAGAACTTCATTTGGACAACTTTAAAGATGATTTTCTCAATATTTAGATTTTTTTGCACCCTCAGATTCCAGATTTTCAAATAGTTGTATCTCGACCAAATATTGTCCGATCCTAACAAACCATACATCAATGGACAGCTTATTTATAAAGCTTTCAGAGGATGTATAAATCTCAATTTCACAAAATTGACCCTTATGACTGGTTTTGTGCTCCAGGGTCACAATTTGTTACTAACTGAATTTGCTTCCCATTAATTAATGTAAGTTGGGTTACACTTTGCTCTTTCTCTCTAAAATCGATAACCATCTCCTTAGCTTTAGAGATATTTAAGAGGAGATCTGAATTTTCGCACCAATTTAAAATCTAAAACAGGCCCATGTTCTTCCTCCCCATCATGTAAAAGGCTCACTAAACAGTATCATCTGCATACTTTACAATATGTCTGTCATTAAAAGAACTCACACAAGAATGTGTATATATACTAAGATAAATAATAACGGTGATAATACACATCCCTGGGGAGCTCCGACCGAAGTGATCATTTTATCTGAACTAGATGCTCCTATTTTAACCTGCTGGATTCTGAAACTAAGAAAACTGATCGGTGTGTTTGACCTGGAACATGTCGGTGTTGTTATCGTGGCAGTACTCCACCACAACCGTCTGGTTCCTGGAGAGGGTGAAGGAGATGCTGTGCTGCCCCCTGCTGTTCACCGCCTGCAACGAAAGGTCAGACGCAGCGTCACTATCCCACAATGCACCGCGTGCAATGCACTAAAGCGTGAAGGAAGCATGCACCTTGCTGTCCTGTGGGTTGCTGAGGATGTGCACGGCGCTGGGCTTGACGCCGTTCGCTTTGGCCCTTCTGTAAAGAGCGAAGCGACTCCTCTTGCGACCGCGGTCTCCTCCGGGAAGAGAGCCATTATACCTGCAACACAGCAGCACAGACGCTAAACACTGGAGAACAACCTGCTTTACAGCATTATAGCATAGAATGAGTAACCTTATAAAACAGATAGTTCCGGTCCTTGATTCTGATTGGGTTTGGTGGAAGAATACTGTTTTCATTAATATCATTACACTTTATTTGCTCTGTTTTATTTTGTGAAACCGTACTACGTATATGGAATAACCGTTTTATAAAAGCAATAATCCCCGTGAAGCCGTGGTTTATAGTGAATTTATAACAGTTAACAATATAAAAATATAAAACTCAAATCAAAGCATCACACGATTGATTCATCAATCAAATGAATGTTCACATTATGAACAAACTAAAGATAAACTAATATTATAAAAAAAACAAATGACTGATTCAGACTGATTCTGATCGAATTTGCAGTTTTGCGTTTATCATCTAAAACAAACAAAAAAAAATTTACAAAAAAATGCATCATTTATATTTTACATGTTTATATATAGTTTTTCATTTATATTTTTATTTTCGTTATTCATGGTGCAACCAAACAAAAATGTATTTTGCTGTATTTTATGTACATGAGCATGCATATTTTATATTTTACATTTTATATTTTACATATTTTTAGGGTGTTATTGCCTTCTCTGTTTTTTACTAAAGCACAGTCATTTAAACTTCTGATATGATGTGTTATGGTGTTTTTCAGAGCTCAATAATGTCTGTCCACAGCAGCATCTCTTTTCATGCTCTATAGAGGAAAGATCAACATGAGGGTGAGTAAATGACAGATCGCTCAATTATGATTGAATAAAGAGTCGTCATGAACAGATTCACTCTAATAAATCAGCAGACATTCACTCCAGATTGTGAGCCAAGCGCAGAACGAACCCAGATCAAACCCTCAGACCAGGTGCCAGATTAGGACTGGAAGTGCTGGAAACTCCAGATTTGAGGATATCGAGAGGAAATCGCATGCATGTGACGTCCATAATAAGTCCAGGAGACGGCGCACTGGAGAAAGACGCTTTTGTTCACATGCACTCACAGCTGCGCTTGCACTGACGCCCGTTTACAGAAACCCAGCGCTTTAGTGCATTTTAGTGCATATGCACATATCACACCAATTCTGCTGTTAAACAAGCCAGAGCATCCAGAGGAGCGAGTGCTGCAAACAACGCATCGACTGCATCCACAGCGGTCAAAGTGCCACTTCAGCACTGCACACACACACACTCACAATGAAATATTCAAACACCTCTTCTTACTCTATATAGTGGCATTCTGACCTGACAGTGGGTTTCTGTTGAGATGCACCAATGCATGAGAATGTTGAGCCACAATGCACAGAACAATGACTTGCCATGTGCGTTGCTATGTGGTTGCCAGGGCGTTGCTATGTGGTTGCTAGGGCGGAGATGCACCAATGCATGAGAATGTTGAGCCACAATGCACAGAACAATGACTTGCCAGGGCGTTGCTATGTGGTTGCTAGGGCGTTGCTAAGTGGTTGCTAGGGCGTTGCTATGTGGTTGCCAGGGCGTTGCTATGTGGTTGCCAGGGCGTTGCTATGTGGTTGCTAGGGCGTTGCTATGTGGTTGCCAGGGCGTCGCTAAGTGGTTGCCAGGGCGTCTAAACTAGATTCGATTTATAAAAAAGAAAATGTGATGTGTGCATGTGCAAAACCAAGCAGCATAAAGCTACAGTAAGGTGCTCTTATTTGTTTTGAGCGTGTTGCTATGTGGTTGCCAGGGCGTTGCTAAGTGGTTGCCAGGGCGTTGCTATGTGGTTGCTAGGGCGTTGCTATGTGGTTGCAAGTATGTGGTTGCTAGGGTGTTGCTATGTGGTTGCCAGGGCGTTGCTATTTTGGTCCCTTGACTGGACCAAAAGTCAAGTCACTAATATAGCGCTTTATACAATGCAGATTAGGGATGCACGATATTGGATTTTTGCCGATATCTAATATGCCGATATAACTAATTTTGCCGATGCCGATATATTTCCTTTTGTTTTTAAACAACACAAAGTCTCTCCTCTGCAGAGATTCTAAACAATTTTTATTTATTTTTTGGTTAGTTTTTAACAAAAACGTATTTGTTAGAATTAAATAAACAATAATGACGTTCTTTTATAATGAGAGTACATTGAAAGCTTTGAAAATAATTATAAATCAACTATAAATCAATCATTTTATTTAAAGATTTAACATTTGTAGACGGTCTAAAGAAAAAGAGTTGTAAACATTCTGAAAATCTTTCAGAGCTCTTAATCTGTTTGAAAAAAAGAGACACATTAATAAATAAATCTGTATATATAAAATTATTTAATTTGCAAGTGTCATGTTTGTGATTTTTATTCATGTAAGCTATATCTTCTGACCTCTAAATCAAAACATACTCATGATTTTACGACATCAATTACTGCTTTATTTAATCAGAAATACAATCTTAATGTTATTGCCATTATCGGCCGATTCAGATAATATCGTGCATCCCTAATACAGATTGATTCAAAGCAGCTTCACAGAAATAAAACAGGATGTTTCCATCCCAAACTTAATGCGTAAAACTGGAATATCGCATAAAACACCTAAAATAAAGCATTCAATGAGTTTGAGACAACAAAACAGCTACTTCCTGTGAAACTAGCACCAAATATCAGAAAGAAAAATGGAAGTTTTGGCTCCTTTCTCATGCATAATAAGTGGCTCGCATTGCAGATGAAATGCAATAAACACATGTTATCTTGTATTTGGAGGGTGGGATATTCTGGGATGCCATTACGCCGACTTTGGCTCAGGCATTTCAGAACGACTAAACCAACGTTTCATATGCATGTTTAATGCGATCGGCCCGCTGGTTAGCAGTTCGTTATGATCTGTTGAGGCAAAGTCACATGACTTTTTGATGCACATCAAAGAATTTATTTGGTAAATCTGCTTCTATCATAGTTTACACGTATGACGACTTCTCAATTGAGTGCATAAGATTTTTATGCACATTTTAAGATTTGATGTGCATTTTGGCATTACCATCCAGCATTGAATGTGCAATATCACAAAATATGCATTAAAAAAATTGGGGATGGAAAATGTTGTAAATTCATCAAATATGAAATTAATTCAATTTCAGCTCTACAGAGCTGACAGCAGTGTCATTATTCAATGCAGTTCAAACAGCGTTGATTAAATTCAGTTCAATAACTGGGTCAAAATAATTGATTTAAGTTCTAAACTCTTAAAAATAAATGTTTCAAAAGTGATTTTTACAGTAAATAACCATTTTTTGGTTCCCAAAGAACCTTTCAGTGCTTACACTTTTATTAATAATGCTTCTTTATTGGCATTGATGGTTCCATTAAGAACCTTTAACATCCACGGAATCACTTTATAGTGAAAAATAAAGGGTTTCTTTTCATAACTGATCACTGAAAGGTTATTTGGCAAACCAAAAATTGTTCTTCTTCAATGGATTTACTCAGAAAAAGTGCAAGAACCACTTTTTTTCTTAGTGTGAGGAACATTTTAATCATTTAATAATCATCTTTTTCCACTATGAAGGACCTTATAAGGTTCCACGGATGTTATGAATGCCAATGAAGAAGCTTTATTTTGAAGAGTGTAGATGTGGCTCAGTTTGATCACTTAATAAAGTAATAATAATACAGATGCATGCTGTAGAAAACACAACTAATGATATTTTATAGACCGTTTCACTTCAAACTGCTCTCAAGGGGCATTATTAATTAATATTAATACAAAAGCAAAGCATAAACAACAACTAAATCCATCATGCATGCAGCCGTATGAAGTGCTCCTCACTCAGTTCTGGTTTTTGAGCAGATTATGTTGTAATTGCATGTTTAGTAGCATGTTGCTGGCGCATGATTTGAGCGTGTGCAGATCAGAGGAGTTCCTGATGTGACACAGACACATGTGGGTGGAAACATTTCACGCTCCGCTTAATAACACGCTCATATCTCAGAATGAGTCGTGGATCCGGGATATCTGGCCATCGTTCGGCCGATACCGGCGCCTGATTGGCTGATCCCTCAACCCAAATAACACATTTCCTAATCCAGCTTTCTAACAAAGCTGACATTGTTATACACTCTTAAAAAGGGGGTTTCACAGCAATGCCATTTTTGGTTCCTGCTTTCAGTGAAAAGTTCCAAAATGAGCCACGGAATATTTGTGAGACTGAACGATGAATATTTTTGATGAATTGCTCCTCTATTGTAAGTTGCTTTGGATAAAAGCATCTGCTAAATGCATTAGTGCAAGCATTCTGAGATTATCTGCTTACATTAAAAAAGACACACTTTTTGCATGCAGTAAATGTGAAATATAAAAAGTAGAAAGATTGAAACAGTGTTTTCTTGTAAAATGTACTTGTTTTATTTATAACATAAAAAAAATGTATAGTGTAATTTTATATTTTCTTTTTGTTATTATTATTATTATTATTATATTTTTGTCAGAACAAGGTACACTGAAAGCATTCAGTGATAGAAACAGATTGAATTGGATGTGAAATATTGAAAGAATGAAATTGTGTTTTCTTGTAAAACATACTCCAATCATTTTTGTTCTATTTACAATTTTGAAAAAAAAAATTCTACAATGTATGGACATGTTTGGTATCATAACACTAAACGTAATGCAATTTAACAAATATTGTGTAAAATAAGCATTCAGTTTCTTATACGCCTCGTTTTCGATCATCAAAAAGTTTTCATGTAAATATTAGTAATAATATAAATGTGATGTAAATATGCCATGCTAAAGATAAGATTTTATTTATTTACAATTTATGGACATGTTTGGTTTTCATTATCGTTGAATATCGTTAATTAAATGTTAGTGCATTTTTAATAAATACTGCGTAAAAACAGCATTCAATATGCTACACGTCTGGTTTTCTATCAGTATTAAATATTATTTTAATTTAAAAATATCGGTTGACTACAAGTGCTAGTTAATAAAGTTATTTAACATAATAATAGTAATAATGTAAATGTGCCATTATAAGGCTTAGATGTTCTGTGCATGCGTTTTTAAACATTTTTTTAAATTTATGGACGTTTGGTTTTTATTATCGTTTAATATCGTTAATTAAATGTTAGTGCATTTTTAATAAATACTGCGTAAAAACAGCATTCAATGCCCTAAACGTCTTATTTTCTATCATTAAATATATTTAAATTTAAATATCGGTGGACTACAAGTGCTAGTTAATAACGTTATTTAACATTATAATAGTAATAATGTAAATGTGCCATAATTTAAAAAATATATATATTAAAATATCGGTTGACTACAAGTGCTAGTTAATAACGTTATTTAACATTATAATAGTAATAATGTAAATGTGTCATAATAAGGCTTAGATGTTCTGTGCATGCGTTTTAAAAAAAAATTTAAATTTATGGACAGTAAGGTTTTTTTTTTTTTTTTTTTTTCAATTTATGGACGTTTGGTTTTTATTATCGTTGAATATCGTTAATTAAATGTTAGTGCATTTTTAATAAATACTGCATAAAAACAGCATTCAATGCCCTAAACATCTTGTTTTCTATCATTAAATATATTTAAATTTAAATATCGGTTGACTACAAGTGCTAGTTAACAACGTTATTTAACAATATAATAGTAATAATGCAAATGTGCCATAATTAAAAAAATATATATATTTAAATTTAAATATCGGTGGACTACTAGTGCTAGTTAATAACTTTATTGACAGGTTCACTCCCACTGGCCTCCTTCCTGAACACTAATGCGCTGGTTAACCACAACCACGATGACTAATGGAGATGCTAGTGATGTTAATAACAACACAAATAATGTATAGCCTAGTGTTTAATGTAAATGTGATGGAAATATGCTTTAAGTCGATAATCGGCATTATAGGTCAGATCAGAAGCCGATTAATTCATTCATTCAATTCTCGGTTACCATGAATCCGTAGTAAACGCGAATCACTCACCCGAGAATCACCAGTTCTCCGTATTTCACCGGATCTTTGGAGCGGTCGTGGTCGTGTTGGTTCGGTTGCAACATGGGACCGGCGCTCCGTTACTCCGGTCCGCGGATCGAGCCCTGGAATCCGCGCGAGCCTCTCAAACACACCGAGCGCTGGTTTAGACGGAAAACGCGCGTCAATCTCCGCACAGCGGCTGTCGCGAGCGCATGGCTCTTCCGTGACTCGTAAAACGTGAAAATCCGGACCGAATCCGTTCCTCTGCTCCAGAACTGAGCGAGCGGCGGCGGATCAAAGAGTGGCTCGCGGCGGAGTGGACCGTACCATGAGCGCGGCGGGGGAGACACGCAATAACACGTCTTTCATTTGACTTTCTTTCCGCGTCCGAGATAATTGTATATTATTGATTTTGTGGCATATCGTAGATTTGCGTCTTTATCTGAGAGCCTTGAAGGATTAAAGTGAAGTTTATGTTTTTATTCACGAATCTGAATCCCTCGCCCCCCCGCGTTGCGCTCAGTCACGTGTCCCGGATCGCTTTGAGCATTACGTCAGTGTAAAATTGTGTAAAACTGATGCTGAAGTCGAACATAATCGAATATGGATCATAGAGGAGACGCTAAACATAGCTTTAGAAGTGATGGAAGTGATGTAATGAAATATTTCAGTAGTCATGGGATCACAAAAAAAGAAAAAAAATGTAACAAATAGGCTACAAATGTAGCTTAATATATGTTAAAGAGGAAATACTCTAAACCAATGTTTCATTTCATAAAAGACTATTTAATTTTAGTGTTTAGTGCATTATTTAAACTATGTAAACTTGGTTCATGTGCTTTGTATAAAACAGAAATTTTTCTGCGTGGTTTTTATTTTCAATTGCATATAATAAAATAAAATGCCACTGTAAATAATATGCTTTTTATTTCAAAATTAAACTCAAATTAACTTATTTTTTGCTAGTTTTAATGAAGTTACCACTAATGCTATTTTAGTATCACTATTCATTTTTTTATTAATATTTTAAATCAGTTTTTATTTTTATATTTTCTGTTTTCATTTTGATTTTAGTTAATGTTTTGGTGTGTGTTTTATCATTTTTTTTGTAGTTTTTGTTTATATATATATATATATTAGTTTTACTTATTTTAGTATATTTAATGTATAAGTTGAACTAAATTAAAAAGAGAAATGTTGCCTTGACAGCTAGCTATATATATATATATATATATTTTTTTTTCAGTTAATGTTCATTTTATTTCAAGGAATGTTGTTTTTAGTTACCACGACACTTTTAATCCTGTCTTATCATTAATATAAACATCAAGTGGTTCTAATTACATTTTAAGAATTAATAACTGAAAATGATTAGTTACAGAACTGAGGCTGTGGGAAAAACCCAGAGGACCTCCTGCTTATAATTAAGGCATTATGTTTCAGATATTATGATAATAGTTGCCATATATGTTTTAAAGTTCCAGTGCATGATGGGAAGGTAAAAGTGTTTGTTCAAATGACTCCATTTGGAAAGTCAGGAGAACATTTGGACAAGTATGTGAGCAAAGCTCATCAAAACAGTGTCTTATTATTCTTCAGTTCATACAGAATAATAAACGGAGTCTATAGCATGTTTGCAGCATTCCATCAGCAGGAAGGAAGGAAGTACAGCTCAGGACGACTTCCTGTCTGATTGCTTGCTGCTTTAGAACAGAATAAACAGCAGTTCATCGCCACGGAAACAGAAGAAACAATTCCTGTGCTGTAGAGCGATCCACTCGTCCACTACTGAGGGTCACTAGATGGATGGATGGATGGATGGATGGATAGATGATGAATGGATGGATGGATGGATGGATAGATGATGGATGGATAGATGATGAATGGATGGATGGATGGATGGATGGATGGATGGATAGATGATGAATGGATGGATGGATGGATGGATAGATTGATAGATAGATGGATGGATAGATGATAGATAGATGATGGATGGATGGATGGATAGATGATAGATAGATGATGGATGGATGGATGGATGGATGGATAGATGATAGATGGATGGATAGATGATAGATAGATAGATGGATGGATGGATAGATGGATGGATAGATAGATTTTGATTACTTAGATTATTTTAACTTTTATTAAAATAAAAATGGAAAATATAAAAATACAAAATAATTCAAAATATTACTTAAAAATATAAAAAAACAACTTTTTTTCAGTTATATCAAATTGACTTATTAAAAAAAAAAATATATATATGTATATATATGAGAAACTTAATCTTATTTTATTTCATCTATTTGCCAAGGCAACATTTTTCATTTGCATTTCATTAGTTTAGCTTGATGTACTAAAATAACTCAAACTAAAACTGAAACAAAGATTAATGAAAACGATAGACGTATTTAAAAAATGAATAAAAATAACAACAACAAAAAAGCAAACAAACAAAAAACATGTCAAATCCATCACTGGAGGCAGCGTTATTATGGATTATGAACTCTATGGTATTTTAGTTAAAAACGTCTTAATGCTGGATTAGTTTCAGCTTTTGTCTTCTCCAGATGTTAACTGATGGACTGGAGTGCTGTGGATTACTTGTGGATTATTGTGATGTTTTTATCAGCTGTTTGGACTCTCATTCTGACGGCACCCATTCACTGCAGAGCATCCATTGCTGAGACACTGATGCAATGCTACATTTCTCCAAACCTGATGAAGAAACAAACTCATCCTGATCTCGGAAAGAGACCATTTTCAGGAGAATTTTATTTTTGGCTGAACTATTCTTCTAAAACGTGTTGATTTGAACCCGTCTCACGCAGGTCCAGTGAAACCCCAGACGGAGCAGCATAGCCAGTGTGTGTGTGATGTGTGTATTAACACACATTAATGATGTCCTGAGTGAGTCTATGGGCCGGTTGATGAGCGTCTCTCACTCGTTCGCTGCTGACAAACCTGTTGTGTGGGAGAAAACTTTATGATTTAGTTTTATTGCTGCCAAATATGGCAGAGATCAATGCTGCGATGTTTCAGGTGGAGAAAAGCAACTCAAGAAACACACAAAAAGAAACGAATCTGAAGTTTCCAGTGTTTTCTGAGATTTCTGTGTTTCCACGCCGCGGCTGAACCAGATTAAAAACAGTGGCGTGAAAACCAGTACCGTAACGTCTGAAGTGCTGAGAGAAGAAGATCCTCAGAAACAAGCAGATGTTCAAACATTATCATCAACCGTTATGGTGTTTTTCTAAAATGTTATAGTGCATGCAAAATATACAATACATGCAAAAAAAAAATCTAAGTTATATTAAAATGAAGATCATTGGAGTATGTTTTACAAGGTAACATTTCAGTTTTTCTACTTCAGAATTTCACACAATTTACCTGTTGCATTAATTTACTTGCAGATTCTTCGGTCAAACTCACTGAGCAAGCTTCTGCTGCTGTTTGTGGTCTCCGTCTCGACTCACACCTCAGCTTTGAGCACGTCTTAAACACCAGTTAGGACACATTTATCACAACATGATCAGTTTCCACATGCGATTTGCCTGGAAGTTCCTGACAAATCCACAAAATCTGCCGGACATCAGCTGTCCGGCTCACGTTTCACTGCATAAGAGGAAAATAAACCTATTTTAAACATTGCTTTGCACTGTGAATATTTCTTTTTCATGACACCTGCACAAAAAAAAAAAAAAAGTAGGCTAAATTGGAGCATGCAATGTTACTTGCCATTTCTATTTTTCCAATTATGTGTGAAATTTACCAGCAATTTCTGAGTGAAAATAGTTTCTACATCAATTTCTTTCAGTGAAAAATGCAAGCAAATAAATAAATTAATAATAATAATAATTTTAAAGTATTTATACATCTTGCGAACTGCATTTATTTTTTTAATTACAGTGGGAGAAATTTAATTATATGAAAATAATGTCACGGTACAAATGAGCTTATTTTCCTCAAACCAAACACGTCATCACTCATTCAGATATACGTGAAAGCTCCTGCAAAAACACTCTGCACGCAAACCAAAACAAAAGAACATTTAAGGAATAAATTGAAGGGAAAACAGCTTTTACTGCACCTTCCTTCCTCAGTATCTTGTCTTGTTTTCTATTGCAAACGTCTGAAGATTCATAAATCAAGATACACACTCTTACAAATAAAGCTGCTTCACAGTGATGCCATAGAATAACTTTTTTTATCTAAATGGTTCCATAAAGAACCTTTAGAACCTTTCTGTTTCACAAAAGCTTCTTTGAAGGGTTCTTCAGATTATAAAAAGGTAAGAAAGAGACGGTTCTTTGACTCAATGGTTCTTTATGGAACCAAAAATGTGAAGAAGCCTTTAAGCACGTTTGCTTTTAAGAGTGCATTTACCAGAGAATCAAAATTACATAACTTTTTTTTAATGAGAAATGTATCAAAATGAAGTGAGTTTATGATTAAAACCAGAACAAATAAGCCCTAATCTGCCAATGGAGTCAAAAAAAAATCAACTCAACCTAATTTGCATTGCACTGGCAGATATTTGTTCTCGTTTTAATCATAAACTCACTTCATTTTGTTCAGTTTCTCAGAAAACAAGACTTATCTTCATTCTGCATCTCCAGATTTAAGGATGTTTGAACTGGAAAACAAGACAAAAATACTGTTTTTTGCAGTGCATGCAACATGTCGTGACTTTATGAATTTTGTTCCTTTTTATGCCTTAATTTGTGAAATTAAAACACGTTAAGACCCGCAGAAACCACATTCCTCCACGTCAAGAAGACGCGATCACATAGTACTGGATATATATATAGATTTTATTATTTCTTCAGCATAACAAATATGTCAAAATAATAAAACAAAAGCATTAATTTAGAAAGAGAAAAAGAGGCTTGGTGTGATTTGTGCGGTTTGCGGTCACGGTTCGAGGAGAGTCGGTACCAGAACCCGTGATAGAAACGGGTTAAGACGTCTGGATTAGATCAGAAACACAAGATGATGCTGTTTTCATTCCTCAAATCACACTCGTTCCCGGCTTCTCCACGCGTTTAGTGGAGAACCTCCAGAAAAGGCCAAAAGCAGTGTGAATATGGAAGGCCTATAGATTCAAAAGTTTCTTCATGGAACACAATCAGAACGTTCTGCTTGGACTGGTGAGTTTATTTCAAAGCGATTTTCCCGATACATTCGTTAAACGTGATGGCACAGAGGTAAACAAACAAGCTGCCATTTTTGGACTGACAAACCAGATCTTCAGACACAAAAACCCATTTTTTTTGACCCCACAGCTTCTGAAAGTAATACTTTATGGACATTACAACGCAACAGGAGGACTACAGAACGGGCGTACGAAAGAAAAGTCGGGTTACATGTCAACGAAATCAAAGACAGAGAATAAAACCGAACTTTACTGACAGAAGCCAGAGTTATTGGTTAATTGCTTCTAGTTTGGCGTGTCTTCGACCCGCTCGCGTTAGGATTTGTAATTGGACGTGAGCCAGGTGAGTCCTTCGTAGAGTCCGTCGCCCGTCGTAGCGCAGGCCGGCTGAACGTACCAATTGCGATCTCTGATCCGAGTCAAACCCAGCTTCTCCTGGATCTCGTGCGGCTTCATGGCATCCGGAAGGTCTTGCTTGTTGGCGAAGATCAAGATGATTGCGTCGCGCATCTCGCGGTCGTTAATAATGCGATGCAGCTCCTGTCTAGCCTCGTCGATCCGGTCGCGATCCGCACAGTCCACTACGAAGATCAAGCCTTGGGTGCCGGTGTAATAGTGCCGCCAAAGCGGACGGATCTTATCCTGACCGCCCACGTCCCACACGTTAAACTTGACGTTCTTGTACGTAACGGTCTCCACGTTGAAGCCCACCGTCGGGATGGTGGTGACCGACTGCCCCAGTTTGAGTTTGTAAAGGATCGTCGTCTTTCCCGCCGCGTCAAGTCCAAGCATCAATATTCTCATCTCCTTGTTGCCAAAGATCTTCGAAAGCATCTTCCCCATCTTGTTGGCTGTGCATATATTAAGTTAGTTGCAGGGAGAGGAATGCAACTTTTTTGGTTTTTGCAGCTTTGGCAAGCACAATCACTCAGAAAAACACTTAAACTTTGTAGGTTTCGCAAAACTCATACAGCACCGCAAACGACCCTCAAAAATCAGGAAAAAATCGTCCTAAAATAATATGTGTTTAGATCTGTGACAGGCCTTTCTGGTTTCCTCAGACTTCCTTCTTGTGTACCGGCTGTCGGGTCGCCTTTTTTTCGCGCTCATTCCCTTCAGACGCGCTTCAGATCGTTCGTTCGGTCACAAAAAAACTCCAAACGTCAGTCATTCATCCTTAGTTTCCCCTCTTCAGTCCCTGAAACACGAGAGAAAGCGGATGAGAAAAGGGAGGGGTGTCAAACACAACTTTATTCTTGTAGTTACGCTTCGTGTTCTACTCATACTAAGCGCTACCGATTTACCTCATAAAACAGCCCCCCTCTCGCGCGTCCCGGCTCGGTTCGGTCCCTTCTGTTCCTCTCCGGTTGTTTTTTCGGTCCCGGTCGTGCTGCTGTCGGTGTTACCGGAAAAGGTGCGGAGCTGTTTCAGCAGCCACTTCCTCTCTTTCTTGCTCAGGCGCACTGCGACATTTGACATTCGGGCGCTCGGATCCTACTACGGCGAAGGCTCTGCTTATTAATATTCATGACGCGTATGTTTGCCATTGGACAGACGGCGCTGCGTCAGCAAGGACGTAGTTAATATTCAACGGACTAGCTTGTGATACATTGGGATCACACCACCGAACAAGGCGAGTATGACTTCGTTAATATTCATGTATTAAAGAATTCGCCTTGAGACACATAATAATAATAATAATAATAGTAATAATAACTTATATTTTTATTTAATATTTTCTACACTTGAACCTCTAACACTAGCACTCTCTATTCAATTTCTATTCTATCTTACTTGTTTTCTTTTTATTTATTTATTTATTTAAAAAATAAACTAAAAACTCTTGATCCTTTAACACACACTCTTTACAATACTTGTTTCTCAGCAGCGAAGTCGTCATAGTTGGGTTAACTTAAAGAGCAGTGAATGGGAGAACACCACAAATATATATTTTTGAAATTTCCCATTTGCTCAAATAGCAAAAGAAAAACTCCACAATAGTGTTTTCATGACTTTCAAAAAAAAAAGGGAAAAAATTGAGAGAGACACCCTCGCATTAGCATTAACTAGTTTTTTTTTTAATGTAATTTGATGCAAAGGTGATATAATACAAAGTATAGTGTTATAAATGTACATAAAAAAAATATATATATAAATATAAAAAACATTCGAGGATTTACGATGCTGATGACCGTTAAACGCGTCATCACAGTCTTGTGAAAAGGGTCCGTTCTTTTTCTATTCTATCTACTTGTTTTGTTTTGTTTTTATTTATTATATATATATATACATATATATATATATATATATAAAAAAAACCTTGCTATGTGCACTAACTGAGACTTATTACAGCATTTAAATATTATTGTTGTTTTGATTGCGTCTGTCCTCATTTGTAAGTCACTTTGAATAAAAGCGTCTGCTAAATGCCTAAATGTAAATGTATTTTTCTTTGCATTTCTACTCTTCTCTAGCTTGTTTTCTAATTTGTTGTCAAATAAACCTGATATTTGTAGGAAAAACAACGGCAAATTTTTTTCATGATTCCAGCAACGGACGCATGAGCTCATTAATATTCATGAGATGAGCGTATGGTCCTTCGCCGTAGTAGGCGTTATTAATACGAGTCAAGCCCGATCTGAATTAAATGGACGCCAATTGAGACTCGGAAGAATGTAATTGTGGTGGCTTTTTAGAGGCTGTTTTGTTTAAAATACCGTTCAGATATGATATTTGCAGTGTTCTGAATCGTTTTTAATGTTCGCCCACGTCCACTGAGGGAGTTTTTGCGTCTCAGTGGCATCATGTGACGTCGAAGGGGCGGAACTCATGACGTCACATCGAGTTAAAAAATGCCTCGTTTAAATAAAACTCCAGACAGACCTATAAATACGTGCATATTTGCATTTTTTTTCTTTTTCAGAGGAACTGACTTCCACGTGTAGCAAACAAATCAAACTGCAACTGAAGTGGTTGATGTTTGTTTTATTTTGAAAGAATTCCTTCCACAAACACTCCTGTAGAAACATAACAAACAAACTTAATAGATTGAATCTGCGTGTTCTTCATTTAGATGCAGTAAACTAATTTCACAAATAAGCCAGATTTTTTTTTTCAATTCTGGTTGTTTTTTCCCCACCACATATTTAAAAAATAAAATAAAAAATGTGACTTTTTATCTCACAATTCAGATGTTTTTCCCCGCAATTGTGAGTTTATCGCAGAGTTTCAGCTTCTCTTCTCAGAATTGATCTCGTAATTGTGAGTTTATTTCTTGCCGTGCTGATTTCATATCTCGCAATTCAGAATTGTGAAAAGAAATAACAGAATTGTGAGATATAAACTCAGAATTGCGTGAAAAAAGTTTGGATCGCAAGATACAAAGTCGCAATTAGGCTACCGCAATTTTTTTTATCGCATGGCTTTTAATAACTATACGTTGACGTAATGTATTTCAAATAAATATTAAATTATTCAATTTTGACTTGTATGATTTTTGTGGGCCGCGTTACGCCCCCTATCGGTAACCAGGGAATGACGTCACTAGTGTTTTAGTTTCGTAGCGCAGTGCGCATGCGCGAAACATTCGCGTTCTTCTCTCGTCGCGAGACGTAACGGGTGTTGAATGCGTTGTAGCGCGGCCGTTTGACCACATGTTATCACCCGCATAAAACTTCGAAGAAGTTGTGAAAATATCCGCCGTTTAAACCCAGTTTCATGGAAGACTCTGGTAAGTATCCTTCCCGCCGTAGATTTCCCGCGATTCTCGTGCGTTTGTTTCTAGAAAACTCTGAGGTGAATGAGCGGCGTCGGTTTGCTAGCAGTTTAGCTAGCGTGTGAAGAGAAGAGACCAGGCCAAAACCAGACAGTTTTCATAGTTTAATAACATGTTGTGCTGGTTTTGAAACTAATTCGCCTTTGAAATGCCACTGAACGCGTTTTAAAGCGTGTTTTGATCGTAACTCGCGTACGTTCGCAAACTAACTTCGACGATTCATCGCGTGGTGTTTGACAAGGAAACGCGATACTAACATTTCATATAACTGTAAACAAGTCCTTCGTTATTTCTCCGTTCATGAATGTTTTCCGTGGTTATCTTTAAAGCATTTCTAAGTCGTTTGTCAAAACTGACCGAAACTGTCGAAACGCATGAGTATCTTTAGCAGCGCAAAGCTTAAAAAACATGCAAATTAGGCGTAATAATTATGCATTATCACAACTTGGCATTTTCTGTGGAGTCTATTATATCACAGCTTTTTGTTTATGGTTAAATAGCCCAGGCCTTCCGCGAATTAAGACCTTAAATCAGAGCAGAAAGTCTTAAATTCATAAAGTCGTGGCATTAAATTGTTGTTTTCCAGTAACGTACAAATATTCTAAACATTCTCAAATCAAGATACTTTTACTGGAGATGGAAAATGAACACATGAAGTCTTGTTTTCTGAGAAATTAAACAAAGCTAAGTGAGTTTTTGGTTAATATCTTTCAGTGGGGAATAAAAACTTCGTACACGGGTAAATAAAAGAACTGGTTATTGCAATAAGTTTTGCATAGTATTTTCTTTACTTCAAAAACTGTCTAAAAGGGTATTATTTTATGTATTTGAGGTCTGAGAGAGAGAGGGCAAACATTTAGCTTTTTAGGTCAGCATTGTCGTCTAATTAGCCAATATTGTCTTAAATAGCCTGCATAGCACTTCATCTTTTATAAAATGGGGTTTTGACACACATGAAGTCTTGTTTTCTGAGAAATTAAACAAAGCTAAGTGAGTTTTTGGTTAATATCTTTCAGTGGGGAATAAAAACTTCTTACAAGGGTAAATAAAAGAACTGGTTATTGCAATAAGTTTTGCATAGTATTTTCTTTACTTCAAAAACTGTGTCTAAAAGGTTATTATTTTATGTATTTGAGGTCTGAGAGAGAGAGTGCAAACATTTAGCTTTTTAGGTCAGCATTGTCGTCTAATTAGCCAATATTGTCTTAAATAGTCTGCATAGCACTTCATCTTTTATAAAATGGGGTTTTGACCAAATATATTCAATCTTGATTTTTTTTTTTTTTTACAGTACCAGTCTTTTTTATAAACCCTTGAACTTGGCAAATTTTATGCCATCAGCCCATTTCGTGTCATGGGTTCCGTGCCGCCGCGGAGGATGTGTTAAATTGGACATTAGGATATTAGAGGTACTACCATAATAAGAAAAGCCAAATTTTGAGCAAGTAGGTTTCTATTAATTCATGTGCATCCATGCTCTTGTTTTCTTCATGGTAAGATGGCAGTGATGCACAAAGGAGATAAAGGTTATATAAAACTAGAAACTAATGTGCAAGCATGCAAAAAATTCCCATGCAAAAAAAATGTCTTGTGTGCATGTAAAAGGGGCTTTTAGGGGCTCTATGTTAATGCCACTTGGAGAAAATCAATGAAAATAAAAATGTTTACAGATGACTGTACTATATACCAAATAGAATGCTGAAAATAATGCTGTATGAACCATTCATGTTAAATGTGGACATTTTTTGAGTCTTTGAGAACCCTGGTAGCCACGATGTTGCTTGGTTTTATCTCATGTTATCTTCAGACTTACATGATGTGTGTTTGATGTGTTTGTTTCAGGTGAGCCCATGACCGGGATGTTGGACACGAATGCCCCTGATAACGGGGACGCTCCTGCTATGGAGGGCACCGGGGCCGATTACGGCACAGACCCGACCGCGACCGACTGGACGGCTCCTCCACAGGCTCCTCTGGCGAATCCGGAAAGCCACGAGTGCGAGCAGATCCAGCAGCCGTCTGCATCAGAACAAAACCAGCTGTACTCGATGGAGCATCTGAAGTCTGCAGCGGAGAACATCGACCACACAGCCAGTCCTGCAGACCCCGGTGCGGAGAGCCTAGGGCAGCAGACGGAGTCAAACGGACAGCAGGACGAGGCGAAGCTGGCCGGAGCGGGCAACTCGGAGAGCCCTTCCAATATGGAGCTAGAAGACGCTCCCAAAGAAACCGCAGAAGCGGAGGAACCAGCGGCAGACACAGACACAGCCGCCACACAAGAATCTGAGTTTCCTGCAGATTACGAGCGGCTCTTTAAAGTTGTGGAGGATAATCCTGAAGACTTCAACGGCTGGGTCTACCTTCTGCAGTATGTTGAACAGGAGGTGAGTGTTTTTAATGCTAAAGCATTGCATACGGTGCAGACGTTCATCATTAGCTAGAACTCGCTTAAAGGGTTTAGTATAATTTTGCCAGAAAAAGATTTAGAATTTTTTTACCATTTGTGACCCTGCAGCTCAAAAGCAGTGTTAAGTCGCTGGGGTATATTTGTAGCAATAGCCAACAATATATTGTATGGGTCAAAATTATACATTTTTCTTTTATGCCAAAAATCATTAGGATGTTAAGTAAAGATCATGTTCCATGAAGATATTTAGTACATTTCCTACCGTAAATATATCAAAACTTAATTTTTGATTAGTAATATGCATTGCTAAGAACTTCATTTGAACAACTTTAAAGATGATTTTCTCAATATTTAGATTTTTTTGCACCCTCAGATTCCAGATTTTCAAATAGTTGTATCTCAGCCAAATATTGTCCTGTCCTAACAAACCATACATCAATGGAAAGATTATTTATTCAGCTTTCAAATGATGTATACATCTCAATTTCGAAAAATTTACCCGTATGACTGGTTTTGTGCTCCAGGGTCACATATGTTAATGTAATAACTTGTTTGTTTTCTGGTTTTTATTGCATTTGTTCCATTTTTTTTAATCGTTTTTGCCATGAAAATAGCCTAAGACGCTGACATGGCATTAAATAAAAATATGCTACTACTACTCATCATTAGCTATGCTTCCATCCAAAGTTACGAATTAAACTTCAGCACAAAATTGGAATATCGCATAAAAAAATTTAGAATAAAGTACCGTTTCCATCCAGTGAGTTGAAGAGAACAAAATCATCACTTCCTGATTAACTTGCGCTAAATATCACGAAGAAAAACTTGATTCGCTGCAGTTGTAGAAGGCACTGTATGTAATAATTTGTGTATATGATAAATTACAGATGAAATGCGGTCATGTTATCTTATTTTTGGAGTCTGCTGTTTGGGAACGCAGTTCTGGGAGTTAATTATAACGAAGCACTTTAACGAGACTTTGCTCGAGCTTTTCAGATGCTGTGTGATGAGATCGCTCCAGTGGTTGGTCCAGTTTTATGCTGTCCCATCTCAAAGTCACATGTCTTTTTTGATGTGCATTAAGAAATTTATTCGGTGAAAGTGTTTCCATCGTAGTTTATGCGCATGTTTTCTTACCGGATAAATTCCTTAATGCGCATCAAAAAATACATGTAATTTTGCAATGGGACAGCATAAAACTGGACTAATCAACAGACCGATCTCATTGCACAGCCTCTGAAATGCTAGTTTTGTCATTCTAAAATGCTTGAGCAAAGTCTCGTCAAAGTGCTTCATTATAATTAACTCCCAGAACTGCGTTCCCTAAACAACAGGCTACGAAAACTGCTGTTTGGGAACGCAGTTCTGGGAGTTAATTATAACGAAGCACTTTAACGAGACTTTGCTCGAGCTTTTCAGATGCTGTGTGATAAGATCGCTCCAGTGGTTGGTCCAGTTTTATGCTGTCCCATCGCAAAGTCACATGTCTTTTTTGATGCGCATTAAGAAATGTATTCGGTGAAAGTGTTTCCATCGTAGTTTATGCGCATGTTTTCTTACCGGATAAGACATTTATCTTAGTTGAGTGCATGAGTTTTTTTATGCACGTTTTTAGAATTTATGCGCATCTTGGCATTTCCATCCAGTGTTTTTTTTTAATGCGATATCCCAAAATGCACATAAAAATAGGTGGATAGAAACATAGCTATTTGCTTATGAGCTTTTCTTTTGTTTCAGAACCACCTGGTGGCTTCAAGGAAGGCGTTTGATGACTTTTTCCTACACTACCCCTACTGTTACGGCTACTGGAAGAAGTACGCAGATATTGAGAAGAAACACGGCTACGTACACATGGCCGATGAGGTGAGTCTGAATGACTTCCGGACGAAAGTCATGAGAATAATCCATTTTTGTTATCATGAAGTCATGAAAATGTATTGGTAAAAGGTGCCAACAATTTTTAGAATGGGCAAAACCAATGATAATCAGTTTCTGTTAAATCAACAAAACAATTTAAAATAGGCAAAACTCATGCAAATGATCAATTTTGTTGTCGTAATCAGGCAAAACTCACGAGAGCTGTTTATTTTTGTTGTTAAAAGTCACAAAAACATTCAAATAAACAAAAACTTTGTTTTTAAAGCTAACAAAAATGACTGAAACGGGCAAAACAAAAAGGATGATTCTCATGAGTTAAGTTACTGAAACACATTAAAATGAGCAAAACTCATGAGAATCATAGATTTTTGTTGTCATGAAGTCTCAAAAAATGGCCTTTAATACAATTTTTTCAATTCAAGTTTATTTGTATAGCGCTTTTCACGATGCAAATCGTTGTAAAGCAGCTTTACAGAAAATTAACGTTTCTACGTTATATTTAGTAATAGCTTATCTCAAGTTGTTGTCCATATGGCAGAAATGTACAGTAAAAATCATGCAGTTAGTTAATGTCATGTAATCACACAGATGGTGAACACTATTAACAGCAATGATTATATGTTGTGATTAGGGATGCACCGAATGTTCGGCAACCGAAATTATTCGGCTGAAAATAGCAAAAAAAGCTCTTTCTGTGTTCATAAGCGATAATGATATGACGCGATCAATTAGCAACCAGCGTAGAGTGAGAGGCGCGCACTCTTTATTATGCAGCACACACGTCAGCAGTGTGGAAGCATTTAAACTGTTGGAGAAAGACGCAAAAATCATTAAAGCACCGACAGCGAGAGACTTGTTAGTGCTGCATCGCATGTCTTCAATGAGAAGAGGACGGGGTGATTGTTGCTGGTTACTGTATGATGATTGAAATCGTATTAGAAAACGTCATGTGACAATGCGATACGTACGACGTATTCGTAATGAGACTCATTTATAAATCTGCTGTCAACAAAAATAAGCATTGAGGTTTTCCTGCGCGTTTCCGCCAAAATAAAAGAAAAAGCAAGAACTCTTATCAACATTCATAAATATTAGTATTGTAATTTTACTGTTCTGTAAAATAAAATAACAAGTAAGACAATAATGATGATGATAATCATTACAACAGCTCTGTTTTAATACATTTATTATAACATTCACACATAGTGTTCAAATTAGGATCTGTAATATTTTCTAATGTTTTAAAAGAAGTCTCTTCTCAGCAAGGCTGCTTTTAATTGTACAGTAAAAATACATGCCTGATTCAAGAAAGGGGGTCTGATGGCCACAAATTATTATTGTACTAACTTATTAATTTTAAGTTAAATTGTGCTTTGTTGGTATAGTGTCTGCTAGAATGTTAAAAATGTTCAGTGTTAAATTTTTTTAAATTGTTGTTTTGTAATAAATTTTTTTTTTTTTTTAAAGCAAGACAAAACAGTAAAAAACACATTTTGGCTTTTTAATTTATGCAATGGTGAAAAAAAAATTGGCAAAATACATGGGGATAAAAAACTCGAAAAACCGTGTTCGGTATTCGGCCCGGTGTTTAATTTTGTTCGGTTTCGGCTTTGGCCTAGAATTTTAATTTCGTTGCATCCCTAATTGTGATCAAACTTATAGTAAAATTTGGTAGTTTTTTTTTTCTTGTTTTTGGAGTGACATCTGACATGTTTTCATGAGATTCACACTTTAAAGTTTTCTACTCGCCATTTATTCTTGTTAAAAAGCATCACACAAATGAATCGATCTGAATCTGTTTTTCCTCGCACAGGTTTACCGTCGAGGTCTGCAGGCGATTCCGCTCAGCGTCGACCTGTGGCTGCATTATATCACTTTCCTGCGAGAGAACCAAGACACTAGCGACGGAGAGGCTGAAAACCGCATCAGAGCGTGAGTGGGGCTTTTAGTAACATCAAAAAATACCATGATTAAATTAATTACGAGTGCCGCAAGTTCACAATTGATGAATACTGTGCATTTATGCCAATAGGTTGCTTATGATCAACTATTGATGATTTATGACATTGTTAAATAGTTGTGAGATGCATATTTTATCTTCCTCATTTTGAGCAGCTGGAAGTAATAAAGCAAAGCCATTTCAAAATAAGAGTATCTACAATCTATCTGGCATTTAATTCAATGTTTCAGGAAGGAATGACTAAAAATTTAATTTAACACATTAAGTATGTAATAAAAATTGCCTTTTATTTTTTATCATATCAGCAAAATCCAACATCGTTCAAACTCTACTTTGAGTTTATATTTTATATTTATGTTTTTAGCAGATGCTTTTATTCAAAGTGACTTACAAAAGAGAAACGAAAGCAGAATTTAACAATTTAACGCCAGGCTTATCAGACAACTAGATTAGGAAGCAATCATGCGTGTTCATCTATTAGTACATTATACCAGTTTCAGTAAGTATGTATATTTTTAGTATTTTCAGTTTTCAATTGTTAATAAAAAATATATATATTTTTACATGTTATTTATACTTTTTATTTTTTTTAGGGTTTATGGGTTTATTTTGCATGTGCATATGGTTTTAATTTTATTTGTGCATGTCCTAAAAGTCCTTAATTTGTTATTGAAATTACAAATACTTGGATTAAATGACTCGCTTGTGTGATTTTTATGTCCATAGAAAGCACATTAAATGTAAGTAAAGTATCTACTTTTAAGGTTTCAAATAAGTTTTTGGAGAATAAAATGTGAAAATTTGGTTTAAATAATGTTACGTTGTCATTCATTGTAACACTTATAGTTATGTAAGAATTCAAACAACATGCTTATTCTGACCTGTACGTATTAAAATATCTAAAAGAGTAAGTGAGCATATAAAATTTTAGTGGGTTATAAATTAGTAAAAAATTCTTACTGACAAATGGGCAAAACCTAGGATAGTGGCAAATTTTAAAAATGTAAAATAACTAATTAGTATTTGGGGTGAATACATATGGTTTTAATTTTATTTGTGCATGTCCTAAAAGTCCTTAATTTGTTATTGAAATTACAAATATTTGGATTACATGACTTGCTTGTGTTCTTTCAGGTCCTATGAGCACGCCGTTCTGGCCTGTGGCACAGATTTCCGCTCTGACCGTCTGTGGGAGGCTTACATCGCATGGGAGACGGAGCAGGGCAAGCTGGCTAACGTCACGGCCGTCTACGACCGCATCCTCTGCATTCCCACCCAGCTGTACTCGCAACATTTCCAGAAGTGAGCGTCTCACCGCCTTGATTTAGTCACTTTAGATATCTGCAGCGCTCGACAGTGCGAGCACACGTATTTTTTTTACTTACTAAATTATATATTGTGATAAAACCATATACCGTGACAAGCTTCAACGACTGTTGTGAAAATGTGATACTGTCACATACCTAATGTACATACAATTTAACAGTACTATAAATAATTACATAATTAGCCTATTAAATAGAGTCTGGAGCAGAATTATTTAAAAATAATGTGTGAGAATAAAAATAATACTTTCTGTATTTTGATTAAATAATTGTGTTTGTAAATGTCTCCTTATATCCCCAATTAAGCTAAAACACATAATTTGAAAAAATTTGCATAGTGCCCCTTAATTTTTTTTTAATGCGCTCCTAAATTTTTTAACTTGGGAGCTAGGGTTGGGAATCAATTTGGATCAATCGGATACTTGTAAAATTTTAAATTAAATTAATGTGCGCGCTTTTTTTTTTTTGGCTGGCGAAAAGGGGCTGTTAAAAGTTTATTTCTTTATTTTGAGATTCGTTCAAAAATACTGATTCATCCAGTAATGAAACAAGTCATAAGTGAGTCATTGAATCATTCCCTTCATAAATTTATCTAGAATCGTGCCGCTCTATTTTGCACGCAAACAGCTCTTAATTAATTCTATTTTTTATGCAGCCGGCTGATTTTTGTTCATGGTATTCAGCAGCAATTAAAATGTTTTGCAAAAAGACTTAACCACATTGCCATTGAAACTGGGAATCGATAAGAATCGGAATTGATCAAATTCAAACGATACCCGACTGTATTAGGAGCAAGCCCTGATCTGCTTCTGATGTCAATAACGTTTGTAAAACATCATCGCTCTTTCTTTAGGTTTAAAGAGCACGTCCAGAGCAACAACCCCAAGCACTTCCTGTCTGAGGAGGAGTTCGTGCAGCTGAGAGTGGAGCTGGCTAACGCTAACAAGCCTAGCGGAGACGACGCTCCGGGCGAAGAGCTTCCGCCGGGGACGGAGGACCTGCCGGATCCCGCCAAGGTAAGAGCGCCGTCTTTCATCCGCCGGCTTCAAAACATGGCAGAGGTAGGGTAAGGGCGTCTGATCCTGGACACGTGTGCAGGTTTGAAGAGGTGTCTTTCCGTTAGCAGCCAATGAAAACCTGAGGGTCCAGGTTGGCATCCAATCAGGGACTTGGGCTAAAAGTGGGACGGGCTCGTGACGAAATGCCACCGTCCCAGCACCGGCCAGAGCTGATTCACTGGGTGTGCAAACCGTACTGTTTCTGTCAAAACTCATGGTGACGTAGACCTTTTGCGTAGCTGGACATCAGACGAGATCAAATGTTTGCGCCTTCGATGCGATGCTCAGGACTCTGTGTCTTGCCCTCCAGAGAGTGACGGAGATCGAGAACATGAGGCATAAGGTGACCGAGACCCGCCAGGAGGTGTTTAACCACAACGAGCATGAAGTCAGCAAGCGCTGGGCCTTCGAGGAAGGGGTGAGTGTTTCTGAAGGACTCCTGGTCTGATTATGAGCATCGTTACTGTTCTTACTCGGGGGTTAGTGATGGGATTAGCCTTTTTCATCTGCTGGTTCCTTCAGGGTAGGGCTGGGCGATACGGCCAAAAAAATTATAGTCGGTATGGGTAATTATCACGATAAATGTCAAATTTTTGTTTCTTTCGAGTTTAAAGGCAGATTTTTGCTCCAATGTGAACCAGACAGTTAATTGTGGATTTAAGATATTATTTATGGTCAGAACATGACAAACACTTCACGTTTTTGAATTGTTT